GACCTTCTGGCAACCAAACCCAATGCCAAAGCCAGATTCACTTTGCAACCATGTGACTGAACAGCAGTGATTCACTTAACCACTGTGGTGAAGAAGGTCATAAAATGGGGCAAAACTCACTTAGCAATGGAAATTCTGGGCTCAATTGTGGTTGTAAGTTGAGGACTACCTGTATATCAGCTCTCCTGCGCTGCCATTAAATGGAACTTCCGTGAGCCACAGTGATACAGTGGTTAGAGGGCAGGCTATTCCTGCTGACTGCTACTGACTGCAATTTGGCAGTTCGAATCTCACCAGTTCAAGGTTGACTCAGCCTTCCACCCTTCTGAGGTGGGTAAAATGAGGAGGACCCAAAATTCTTGAGGGCAATAGGTTGACTCTGTAAACAGTTTAGAGCAGGGGTCTTCAAACTTGACAGCTTTAAGACTTGTGGACTTCAACTCCCAGAATTCTTCCTCCAGTCATGTTAGCTCAGGAATTCTGGGAGTTGAAGTCCACAAGTCTTAAACTTGCCAAGTTTGAAGACCCTTGGCTTAGAGAAAGCTGTAAAGCACTGTGAAGTGGTATAGAAGTCTAAGTGCTGTTGCTATTTATGATTGTGTTTTGGTGCATTTTCTGGTCCTAAAATGTTATTGTTAAGGAGAGGCACCAGCAAATTCCAGGCATTTCAGCTAAAAGGCATCTGTAGTTGATTTCTTTTACATCCCTGGGTAAAAGAAATAGACCACTCTGTTCAGCCTCCTTTGTATCTCATGAGGTCATGGAAGCTGAAGGACAGTAAAATCATTGATAAAACGATCAGGGTTAAGCCTTGCCAAAGAGAAACAGTTCAGAATGGTCATTTGCTAATTCTGGAGAAAGACTGGGAGCCAGCTGGAATTTGTGGCAGAAACCCCATTTGCAGTCATGCGTCAGGATTTCAAGACTGTTCTAAGAAGGAATTTCAGAATTTGCTTGATGAGGAATTGAGGGTAATGAATGTTCATTCTGGACAGGAAAGAGAGAGGAAACGATATAATATGAAGGTTCAGGGAGATAATCCAATAAGGAGCGTTTGTCACGAACCTTGAAAAATACGACAGTATTTTTTATTTATTCGATTTTTCAGATTTATACTTCTGCTCTTCTCACACAGTTAATTGACTCTGTAATCACTTGTAACCAAGTATTTAAGGAAAAACTTCCTCATGGTGGGAACTATATCCAACTAAGTGTGATGACCCAGGGCATGGCACAAAGGCAACACAGTCAGATAATCAGTAGGAGTCCCTTTATTAGCTCCAACTTTGCCCCCAATGTCCTGGTTACCTTCTGGCTGGAGAAAAACTATCCCAGGAACAGCCTTTGGCTGCAGAGAATCAAGTCAACAAAAACTGTAACTATAAGTCCAATCAAGGCAAGATGAGGTAATTAGTCCGGCAGGGCAAGAGTAGGAATGGCAGTAATTCAATCCAACTGGGAAGACACCAGGAACGCAGATAACCAAAGTCAACACAAGATAAGCTCATGTTTGTTCCCAGCAGCTGCCACTCTCAGCTTGCATCTCTTTTAAACTCTCTTCCCAGGTGTGCCTAATGAAGGGAATCAGGGCCCTTTCCTCCCCCGTAAGCCACGCAACTCACGTTGCTCTCTTCTCTGTTCGTCCCTGCGTGCCCTAGGATGAAGAGGAGGTGGGTCTGGGTCTTTCTCTGAACTCCCTCTCCCTTGTTCTACCTCTCTCCTGCTCTGCCCAGCCGGACTGTGCCCTTCCCCAGTTTCCTCCACAGCCAACGGAGGCACACTCCCACTCCCTGTCAGCTGTATGCAGCCCTCCAAACTCTGTTTTCACTGGCGGAAGTACCACAGGCTGGTTCTTTGCTGGTTCTTTGCTGTTTCCAGGGCAGTCCCATGCGCCAGATCTAAGCACCCCATGGGATGGATTTGCCCCCCAGGCCTTGAGTTTGGCACCCCTCTCCTAGTCCCTTAAGGAGAGTAGGTTCTCCATTTCTGGAAATCTTTAAGAGACTGGATAGCCACCTCTTAGGTGGTTCAGTTCATTTTCCTGCACTTCACAAAGGGTTGGACTCAGGGGTGGGATTCAATTTTTTTAACAACCGGTTCTGTGGGCGTGGCTTAGGTGGTGGGCATGGCTTGGTGGTCATGTTATTGGCTGGGCGTGGCCAACTTAATATCACTCACATCGAGGCACGCATCTCCTCGCCTGGCCTCTCATGACTGTGGAGATGCTGCAACAGTCGTAAGTGTGAAAAATGGTCATAAGTCACTTTTTCCTGTGCCATTGTAACTTTGAATGGTCGCTCCACACAAGCAAAGTACCAGCAAAGGAGGGGAAAAAACTCCAGAGACGTTCCTGAGACAGGAAGTCTAGTCCTGCCAAGAATGTAATAAGGGTCAACAGAGAGGCAGTTTCTGTAAGCAACACCAGAATGTTTCCTTCCTGCCTTCCTTACAGGATTAGGCCAGTAATTTCTTCTAACAACCAGTTCTCCGAACTGCTTAGAATGTTAACAACCGGTTCTAGCGAATAGGTGCGAACCTGTAAAATCCCACCCCTGGTTGGACTAGATGATCTTTCGTGTTCCTTTGTACTCCACCATTCTATGATTCTTGACACTGAACTGGAAGAAACATTGGTCCATCCCTCTTGAAATGACCAGCTTTTTCTTGTTTAATATAACCAAGATAGATTATTTAAACATATAACAGGAAGAGAAATGGGCACACCAGTGTGACTGCCATTTTGACTTTTTTGACCATATCCTGCCCTCTGCTGTGACCACCCAAAAAGATCACCTCCATCCCATTATCAGGATCAGTCCTTTTCCTCATCACAAACCACTTACCAAGGAATAAAAAATGTGTGACTTGTCCATGAGATGGGCAGCCATATAAATTTAATGATTAAACAAGGAAGCCCGTTGGCCTCGCTGAATTTTCCTGGTTGCTCAGTTGCTTTTCAGTCCAAAGATGCAGCCTGAGGAAAATGATGATTTTATGATCCACAGAGTTACCCAAATCAAAGATCCCTTCTACGCAGGATCTGTTAAGAAGATATTCCATAAATTACCATTCTTTATTCTAGACCAGTGTTTGTCAACCTTACCAATTTAGTTCTGATTGAAAACAAAAAAGAGATGTTTATATTCTTTAGACCAGGGGTCTTCAAACTTGACAGCTTTAAGACTTGTGGACTTCAACTCCCAGAATTCCCCCTCCAGTCATGTTAGCTCAGGAACTCTGGGAGTTAAAGTCCACAAGTCTTAAACTTGCCAAGTTTGAAGACCCTTGTTTTAGACTAGAGCAATGTTTCTCAATCTTGACAGATTTAAGCTGAATTCTGGGAGTTGAAGTCCAAGTTGAGAAGCATTGCTGCAGACAGTTTAACGGGAGAGATCAGTGGTGGGATTCAAACTTTTTTACTACCAGTTCTGTGGGCGTGGCAGGGGAAAGATACTGTAAAATCTCCAGTCAGAGGTGGTATTTGCCAGTTCTCCGAAGTACTCAAAATTTCCGCTACCGGTTCTCCAGAACTGGTCAGAATACCACCTCTGGGAGAGATGAGATCAGATGACACCAAGCTGGCAGGAATGGCCAACACCCCAGAAGACAGGCTTAAGATAAAGAAGGATCTTGACAGACTTGAACATTGGGTGCTATTTCACAAAATGAAATTCAATGGTGAAAAAAGTAAGGTTCTACATTTAGGCAAGAAAAACCAAATGCACAGGTATAGTATAGATGGTACCTGGCTCAATAGTAGTAACTGTGAGAGGGATCTTGGAGTCCTAGTGGACAATCACTTAAATATGAGCCAGCAGTGGGCTGCAGCTGCCAAAAAAGCCAACGGAGTCGTAGGCTGTATTAACAGAGGGATAGAATCAAGATACGCGAAGAGTTAATACTGCTTTATAATGCCTTAGTAAGACCACACTTTGAATACTGCATCCAGTTTTGGTCACCACAATGGAAAAAAGATGTTGAGACTCTAGAAAGAGTGCAGAGAAGAGCAACAGAGATGAATAGGGGACTGGAGGCTAAAATATATTAAGAATGGTTTCTGGAACTGGGCATGGCTAGTCTGATGAAAAGAAGGACTAGGGGAGACATGACAGCAGTCTTCCAATATCTTAGGGGTTGCCACAAAGAAGAGGGAGTCAAGCTATCCTTCAAAGCACCTGAAGGCAGGACAAGAAGCAATGAGTGGAAACTAATCAAGGAGAGAAGCAACCTAGAACTAGGGAGAAATTTCCTGACAGAACAATTAATCTGTGGAACAACTTGCCTCCAGAAGTTGTGGATACTGTTAACACTGGAGGTTTTCAAGAAGAGATTGGACAACTATTTCTCTGAAATGCTATAGGTTTTTCTGCCTGAGCAGAGGGTTGGACTAGAAGACCTCCAAGGTCCCTTCCAATTCTCTTATTCTGTTCAGCCCATCCCGAAACAGCTTACGAAGAGCAGAGAGTGAATGAAGTTATTCAAGGAGAAAAATGCTAAAGATTGTCCTGAAGGTTGCTATGGAGGAAAAACTTCATTATATATATATATAAAAGAAATCTGCTGTAATTCAGAAAGAGTTTTCCTTGATGTCTGTCTGGAATTGAATTGCACTGTCATACATCATTCTTCCTCTTCCCCCTTCCCTGTACATGCACTGTATAATCAATGCAGGCCAGTTTTCCTTAATGCTTTTCTCATTCTGTTTATTTTTCTAAGAAATTCTCTGTCTCTCTTTTTCTCCCCCCACCTCCCCCCCCAAAAAACCCAAGAGCCAGAAATGACGTCTCCATCAGAAGGGAGAAAACTTCAGTTGAGCGGAATGCGGCTTCATAAATAGTGAACCACAAAATGTTTGACGGGGGCAGCAGAGGTGAACTATTCAGGTTTACTAAATCCAAATCTCTCTTTTTTTTTTTTTAAGCGCAGGGTGGGGGTGGAGAGAATATTTAAAAAGGTACAGGGCCACCCTTAAGTTTCATAAGCTCTGAAAATGAGGAACATCGGAGTTTTTCTTTGCGTGCTGGCCTTCGTCTCTTACACATCGGGTCAAATGCCTGGTGGGAGAGGTAAGTAGAATTCAATTATAGAACATAGAATCATAAGGCTGGAAGGTATCTTGGAGATCTTCTAGTACATCCCCTGTTAAGTATGTCTAGCTAGAGAAGGATGAGGGGGCATAACTGTCCAGTATGTGAGAGACTGTCACAAACAAGAGGAAATCAAATTATTGTCCAAAGCAGAGGACAAATCAAGAAATAATGGGAAGAAGTTTGTTAATTAGAATCCAACCTGGAACATTTTTTTGACAGGACAATTAATCAATGGAACAGTTTGCTCCCTCGAGTTGTGGTTGTTCCATCACTAGAGGCTTTCAAAAACAGGCTGGACCATCATTTGATCAGGATGGCGTAGGTCTCTGGCTTGAGCAAGGAGTTGGACTAGAAAACCTTGAAGTCCCTTCCAGGGCTTAATTTTGGAAAACAATTTCGAATTTCCAGGCAGAGAATTATAGATCTGTTCTTTCTGGGGGTTGGTGTTTTGTTTTTTTTCCCCTCTACCTATTGTTTTCTTCTTAAATTCTGTTGCCTTTTTATTGATTCCAAGTTTTACAGACATGCTTAAGCTAGCAAGTAAATATACATTTAAAGGATTAGGCTGTAGCTTCTCTTGCTGATATCGAAGTTTATGATTTGGCTCTTCAAAGTCTGGTAGAAGCCTTAATGCGGAGAGTTGTGTTCCGAAGTTAAACTTTTGAGTTTCAGTCATGTACTTTTGTTACACTTAATGGTCACACAATATTTAATTGTATATATCCAATGAACAACTTACGTGCTACAATGTAAGTACCGTAAATAATTATATGCAACTATATATTCTAGTAATTTTCTCCTCACTTTACAACTCACGTACCTACAAAAATTTAGGAAATTAATCCAGATTTGGGCAGAAATAAGAATTTAATAAAATTTAGAAATGGAAAGCAAAGAAAAAAAAGATTGTTCCTATCTTCCTTATCTTATTCTATGTACATGGAACTCCTTGTTACAAGGTTCGGTGGTAATGTTGCTTGGAAATCGAGAGATGAGGAAAGGTTGAATGCTCAATGGATATCAGCTGCCTGCTAACTGCTGTCTTCACGCAACCAGGCAAACTAATGATCTAATAGTCAGATTAACAGAGTTGGAAGGGACCTTGTGGGTCATCCATCTCCTTGCTCAAGGTCTTTGCCATGTTAGTCCTTGAATTAGGACCACAATTGCGACCAGACTTTCCGTTGCTAAGCAAGGTGGTTGTTACATGAGCCACACCCAATTTTATGGCCTTTTTTTGCCACAGAGGTGAAACAAACCCCTGCAGTTGTTAAGTGAATCATGCAGTAATTAAGAGAATCCGGCTTCCCCCCATTGGCTTGTCGGAAGCCGACTGGGAAGGTCGCAAATATGATCACATAATGCCACAACTGTCATAAGTGCATGCCAGTTGGCAAGCGCTTGGATTTTGATCATGTGACCATGGAGAGGTTCTGATGGTTATAAGTGCAAGGACCTGGCCATAAATCGCTTTCTTCAGTGCCGTTGTAACTTCGAACAGTCTCTAAACAAATGATTGGAAGTTGAGGACTACCTATGCAATGTTTCTCAACCTTAGGAATTTTAAGAGGTGTGGACTTCAACTCCCAGAGGCCGGCTGGAGTTGAAATACGCACCTCTTCAAGTGTCTATGGAGATTCTCAGACATCCAGTCACAGTTGTCTCAAATGTGCTTTTTCCAAAGGCAACTGGACTTTCTTTGTTTTTCCTTGAAGACATTTCGCTTTTCATCCAAGAAGCGAGTTCAACTTAACTGAAGAAGCTTCTTGGATGAGAAGGGAAACATCTTCAAGCAAAACCAAAGTCCAGCTGCCTTTTGAAAAGGAACCTCTGGGATTACTCAGCTAGGTAACATCATCAATGCTAGAAGTGTTAATGGATTTTTTTTTCATGGGTGTGTGTGTGTGTCACAAATTATAGAAGGATTTCAAATTCAGCTGAAGAAGCTTCTTGGATGAGAAGCGAAACATCTTCAAAGAAAAAAAGCAGAAAGTCCAGTTGCCTCTTGGGATGCACCTCTTCAAGTTCCCAAGTTGAGAAACGCAGGTTTAGTAAATGCAATGCACCATTACAGTGTTCATTTTTGCCTATTGCTAACGTTTCTTCAGACGTTAGTACTTATTCAGGAACAAACCTGGACAAAGTGGGCTAGATCAGAATCAAATGAGGTGCATTGTGCTAATAAAGATCCTGTAAAAAAAAAAAAAACCTCTTTCTAAGGATGTTTTTCAATATCAGATCTAATTTATTCCTGAAAAAAACTCCCCGTGTGCCATAAACCAGTCTCTCTGGACAACGTGTACCGCATGTTCCAGAATTAATCCATTTTCTGCAGTTGCAAACTAAATAACCATATTATTGTCTGTTCATAGCAGTGTAAAACCACAACCAGTCCTTTAGCTGGCATTCACTTTCATACGCATTCAGTTCTTCCTATACAACTAGTGTGTTGTAATGTATCAGCATAGTTGATGTGTGGATCCAGGCAGTGTAGCCTTTTGTAATTACCAATGAAAATGTTGTCAGTGTACACATTTTCTTAATATTTTCTAAATTATGGCATAGCACCCAGTGTACCGATAAGCCCTGTGACCACCATGCCATAATTTTTCAATTTTGATTTTCACATCTTGATACTTTGTGATCTTCTCTAATTCTTTATCTTCTGTTCTATCATCTCCTGCTAATGCCACAATAAAATTATCCACACTTTCTTCCTTTCAACCGCAGTTAAATCTGGTGTGTTATGAGACCAAACTTTATCCATTTGTATTTGGAAATCCCTCAATATTTTAACCTGATCATTTTGAGTACTTTTTCAACTTTATGTTCCTACCAATTTTTCTTTACTGTTATAGTTATGGTTCATTGCACAGTTGGCCAGATATTTGGACTGGATTTGGCATTTTTGTCAGCTTTCTGAGTCCTTCCCAAGAACCTGGGATAGGCAGAAGTTGTTGTTTGATGATGTCAAAGGTATCACCCAGGATGTAAAACGGTTCCAAGTTGTTATTTTAACCAAAGGACCAGAATAATGGGGGACCTGAGCCCATTTAGTCCTGCATGGAAATGCAGTAACCAGCTTGTTAACTTTCTTGGCAGCCCAGCCTCCCTCACAGGGTTGTTGTGGGAATAAAATGAGGAGATGCCCTGTGCCCCCAAAGCAGCCCTTTGCTTTCAGAGAAATAACAGGATATAAATACAGGGGTGGGCTTCAAAAATTTTAGCAACGGGTTCTCTGCTCGGTTGCTGGGTGGGCGTGGCCATGGTGGGCGTGGCCTAATCAGCCTCCTGCACCGCAACCGGGGGGCGGGGGACATTTTTTCCCTCCCTGGGCTCCAGAGGCTTTTCTCGAGCCTCCAGGAGGGCAAAAATGGCCTCTCTAGGCTCCGGAGGCTCTCTGGAAGTCAGAAACAGGCCCATTTCTGGCCTTCCCAAACTTCCAGGAGGCCTGTTTTTCACCCTCCCCAAGCCTCCGCACACACCCTGCACTTACCTGCATCCAAAACGGGCTGTGTGGGGACTCCGGGGAGGGGAGGGGTGGGTGGGGTCAGCTAGGAGTGGGACTTGGGGGTTCTCACAAAATCTTAGCTAGGGGCTCTCCTGAACCCCTGCAAACCCCCAGCAGCCCCACCCCTGTATAAATACCTTGATGAAGCCATACTGCTTCCTTGTGACCTAGAAGAGACGCTCTGCATTTCTGAGGCTGAAACAGCTTTTTCCAGGAGCTTCGCAGCAGAAGAGCAAATATACATTTTGCAGCTTTTACAGGGAGGTGTTTGTCTTAACAGGAACCCACACCTAGGAGAAAGACATTGCTGAGCCATTTTCTTTGCAAGCCAGGAGGATCAAAGCTGCCAAACCTAACTAGGGCTAAAGTTGCTTTTGTAGGGCAAGTAGCTGTGTGCGCGCAAGATCTCCCCTTCACCTCTGAACCCCTGAATTGCAGCTAGGAACCCCACAATGTCACACAACCACACAAGTGAGAACAATCAACCCATGGAACAACTTCCCCTTGGAAGTTGTGGGAGCGCCATCACTTGAGATTGGACTCCCATCTGTCAGAAATGGTGTAGGGTCTCCTGCTTGGGCAGGGGGTTGGACTAGATGACCTACAAAGTCCCTTCCAACTCTGATTATCTGTTACTATCTGTTACTGAGTGCAGAGCATCTCAAAAAGGATATTGTGGCACTAGAAAAGAGCAGAAGAACGAAAATGGAGGCAAGGTGACAACTGGTTTGGTCTAGTGCAGGGATGTTAAAACTCAATTTTATTGACGTCCGCATTAGGATTGTGTTTGACCTGGGGGAAGCTTGGGGGGCCTGGCCAGCTCAATATCACTCATGTCAGGGGCGCCTGTGGAGGCCCAAGCAATCTGCCAGAGAAAACAGGCTCCGTTTTCACTGGCAGAGGCACCGTGGGCCGGTCCTTTGCTGTTCCATGGGCCAGGTGAGCACTCCGCCCCTGGGCCTTGAGTTTGACACCCCTGGTCTTGTGGTTAAGGCATCAGGCTAGAAACCAGGAGATTGGGAGTTCTAGTCCCACCTTAAGGCATAAGAGCCAACTGGGTGACTTTGGGCCAAGGAAGGGCTTGAAACGGCTTTGGATAAAGATGGGCTAGATAGAGAAGAGAGAAAAATTATTGAAGGTTAATTATTGATGTCCACACATTGAAACCATGTGGATTTCAACTCCCAGAATTCCCCAACCAGCCATGCCGACCGGGGAATTCTGGGAGTGGAAGTCCACACTTCTTCAAGGGGCCAAGACTGAGGAAACCCTGCTTGGATTGTTGTGCAAATACACCCTTGTAATAAAAGTGAGAATTTAGCACTCAATTAAATGGAGTTGCTCAATATAGTCTCATCCTTGACTTCCAATTTGGTTAAGGAAAACTGCACATCTCTGTTTATTTTAAAAAGTTTGTAAACTACACCTAAGTGTTGCTCTGCAGAGACAGATGGGCTACAAATTCAATCACAGAGAATTAAATCACATAAAACTAGCAACCAAGGTTTGCTGACAGTAATTCTTTTTGTTTGTTTGGGCAAACCTGGGGCAAATATGGATATATTCCCAATCCAAGCCCTTCCGACTTTTTACTCTCCTCAAAAAGAAAAGAAAATTTAAGAAGCAGAAATTTTAAACATTTTACAGGTGGTCCTTCTTCATATAGCGACCGTCTGAAGTTACAAGAGCACTGAAAAAAATTACTTAACAACCAAAGCTCGTACTTACGTCCATAGCAGAATCATCATGGGATCAAAATTTGGCTGTTCTAGCCAGCTTCTGAGAAGCAAAGTCAGTGCGGGAAGCTGGATTCGCTTAAGGACTGCGCATGATTCTCTTAACAACTGGGCACAGCTGATTGTCAGAACAGCTGATCTTCGGGACAAAAAAAAAGAAATACCTTAAGGGGTGACTAGGTGGGGAGGGGAGGGGTGGGGTGGAGAGAGGCGGGGCCAGTCAGGGGCATGCCCAGGTTCATTTAACAATCATGGCAAAAAGGTTGTTAAACTGGATGCGACCCACTTAACAACCACCCTGCAAGCAAAGGAAATTCTGGCCCCTGTTGGGATTATAAGTCAAAGAATACCTGTAAATCAAGTCCTGCTTTTGAGACAAGATCTCGAGGGGAAAAAACACCCTGCTGAAATTTCAGCCTTCCCCAACCGGTGCCCACACTGGTTGCAACAGATAAAATTCCACCCTTTCAGGCTAAGAAAATATGCAGGCGGGAAGTCTTGAGAAGAGCCACGTAGCTTCCCAAAGCTGTTTTTTTTTTTTAACCCATTTAACATTTCTCTTCCCTTCCTAGGAGGAGACCTCTCACCCCAGATGCTAACGGAGATGAAGGAAACCAACAAGGCGCTGAGAGAAATCAGAGAACTGTTGAAACAGCAGGTAAGAAGGACGAAGACGTGTCTTTTCTTTGCAAGTACCTTCCTTTTTCCTTGCAACGGAAGCCAAACAGAGACTTGGTGTGTTTTCAAATTAAACACTCTAAAATTGCTTGCTGGGGACTTCGCTTGGGGGAAATATTGCAGCAAGCAAAGAAGTGAGATTCTACAGGTTCAGACCGGTTCCATAGAACTGGTTGTTACGATTCTGCGCGGTGCTGGCAAATCGTGCCCCTGACTGGACCTGCCCCTCTCCGCCCGCCCCTCCCCTCCCCTCCCTGAGCAGTCACTCCTTGAGGTATTTCTTTTTTCCTCCCAACGATCAGCTGTTCTGACAATCAGCTGTGCCAGGATCCCCCCTCGCTGTCTTACTGCTTTGCCCAGGAGGCTTCCCTGAGGCCCAGGAGGCAAAAAGGGACATGCAGGGTGTGTGTGTGTGTGCTGCGCTCCCCCCACGCTTCATTTTTTGCCTTCCTGGGTCTCAGGGAAGCAATCCCCCC